GTTGTCATTTGACTCTATTTTGCAAGTTGTATTAGGTTTTGATTTCTATAGTTTTGAGTTATTTAGAAGGGTTTGTTGTGAGGAAGAAGAAGAAGGAGGAGGTTTAGGGGTTTGTGAAGAAGGAGAGGGGTTTGATGGATTTTGTGTGTTTGTCATTACCTATTTATTATCTATTTTTTTTTTTGTGGTATTAAAGTGAGAAAATCTTGGTATTATTTTTAGCTGCAATCCTACTTATTTTCTAGGGCGTTGCCCTCTAACCCCCAAAAAAATTAAGCTAGTCTTGGGTGTCATAAGATTTCTTTACGAAACGTAAGAAAACTTAAAAGAAATATTATTCTGCATAATAAAATCCTAGCTCAATATGGCTATTAAAATATAATAAAACCCTAGATTCCTAATCTAACAAGGAAACACAATCACCTATAGGGGTGAGTAAAAAAATCGAGAAACCAAAAAATCGAACCGAAAACCAAAAAAACCGAGCCAATATGCAGCGTCCCGACTCAAAACCGCATATACGGTAAACATTTTCTTTTTTGAAAAACCGAAAAAATCAGTTTGTGTATGGAGAATAAAAAAATTACCGAACCGATTTATGCAAAACGACGTTGTTTTGATATATAGTATAAATACTTACCCTAGCGCCCTTCTATCTTTCTAGCGCCTCCACGTGACATGTTTTTATTAGTTAATTTTGGGTTGTGACGTGTTTTTTATTAGTTAATTTTGGGTTGTTATTTATTAATTTTCTCAAACAAATGTAAGAAAGTCCAAATATATCGGTATTATGCCGAACCGATTCGAACCGATAAACGAAACAAAAACCAAATTAATGCCCAAACTGTTAACCGAAAATCAAAAAACCGATTAACACCGAACCAAAAATACCCGACATGTTCGGTTTTTTAAATATGAAAAATCAATATTATCGGTACGTGTTTAGTTTATTGCAAAAACTAAATCGAACCGACCCGAGCAGTGCACACCCCTATTTAATAATTACCTACACTAGTTAATTCCTAAACACTAACACAGGACTATTATAAAACCTACATATACTATTATAATTAATTAATAACTAAAACAATAATTAAATAATAACATATATCATAACACACGCTCTTGAAACAATCATTGTTTTCACTACTTTCTTTACGTTAGTTTTTAATTTAATATTGTTTATGTATATTCAGCCCCCTATAAATGAATTTCAAGTTTCGCCATTGCACCACATGACGGCCTTTTCACTCTTGATTTAGGCAAAGAATGACCGATAAATCGCCGTTGTACTGTGCAAAAACGGTGTTTATCAATGATTTCCGCTTTGAAACAAAGCTCATTCCAAAACACATGATATATTTGATTGTTGGGATTAGCGATTCCCATGGGAATCCGTATTCCTAATAATATGGGAATACCCATTCCTTCTCATCCCCATGGTATTAGACATTCCCAACCATCAAGGAATGAATATATATATACTTATTTCAACGAATTTTGGTACAACTAAAGATTTGACCCAAAAAGATTTAGTTTAACATGAAACCCGACCCATCATTAATTATCTAAAAAAAAATAATTAATTAATTTTAGTAAAAAAGTTATAATTTTTTTATTTATGTATATTTTAATGTTCAAAAATATAAAATAAAATAAAATATATTTCTTAATAATGTAAAAAAATTGATCTTAAAATAATGTTATAATTATCAAGGAATAACTTATATTTATTTTCTTGTTAATATTATAATTATAAATGTAATAATATCGATAAAATCAAAGATGAAATCCAAGAAAAACATATTTGGCTTTGTACTCAACCAACCAATAATTATTTTATAAAAATAAAATAATATTGTTGACCAGAAAACTATATTGATACATTTATTTCAATATTAAGATATTTGAAATTTTGAATATATTTATTCATAACATATAATAATTTAATAGGAAATTAACCTTAAAATTATAATAGTTAAAAAAGTACCATATATTACAATAACTATTGGATAATATTATCATTGAATATTAGTTATTAAAATTATAATTATTTTTTAATTATTAAATATGAAACTAATCAATCAAGAAATTCTTATTTAAGTTACTTTCTAGTCAACTTATTCCATTCCTACCTTATTCCATTCATTTATACCCAATGTGGCCTTGGTAAATAACAAAACCATGAAATCCCAAGAATTGGAATTATAACTCACGTGTTGAATAAGTAAATATACTAACGGTAGCATAACACAAAGAAATATATATATATATATATATATATATGATATATATATATATATATATATATATATATATATATATATATATATATACATCGGCCATTTGATATACACCCGTAGAATGAAAAATATATAGGAATAGGTCCACCCCTAAAATTCTTTCTTTGCCATACTGCAGGAGAAGCAAAAGTACTATTGTGCCTTATTTGTAATTTTTGCCCAATCGCCAACCACATTCAGCACAATAGCAACTGCATTCAGCATTTTTGGACCTGAATTAATCAATTTTCAGAATTTTTGATAAAATATTGTAATTTTTAATTTATTATTATTTTTATTTTATAATAAATTCCATGTACATAAATTGACTACAGATGACTATAGTATAGTACATGTTCTATAGTCACGTATAATTATATATAATCATGTACCTTATTTTTCCTCCAAAGTTATATATATATATATATATATATATATATATATATATAGATATATATATATATATATATATATATATATATATATATATATATATATATATATATATATATATATATATATATATATATATATATATATATATATATATATATATATATATCTCTAG